CTGGTAAACTCAGGACAATTCATCAATAAAATGCTTCCTTTGCTAGATTCATGCCACATCTAGGCCTTGAGAAGCTTTCTGTTTCAGCAAGTTAAGTTATCAAAGAGAAGGTAACCTCCAAAAGAATAAGGATATCATCTGTCTTATTCACTGAGTCTAACAGTGCTGGCTCACACATAGGCACTCAATAAAGACATGTGAAATGAATGAGTTACTGTTGTTATCATCTGAATAAATTATACATTCTTCAGCTAAAACAAAATACTCTACTTTGTCAACTTTTAGAAATAGTCCTATCATTACCGCTCTGAGTATGGTTTTCTTTACCTCTTATTCAACTTAAAACTTGCAGGTTATAAGAGACAATGTAATATAGGTCCGTAACACTGACATTATATCACAAGAGATAAATGATGAGCATTCTAAACTCATACATTTTTATATTATTTGAAAGTATGAAAGCCTATTTCTCATTTATATTTCTGAAGCAGTATTTGAAATAAACACATTTTTTTTCTCTTGTTCAGGTAATATTAGATAACAGACCAATCTAAGAGTTGTAACTAAGACAGTTTTGGTTTCACACTGATTCCAACTATTCAGAACAAAGAAAATATACATATATTTCTTTTTGAAAATATAATTTGTTTGCCTGAAAGACTAATTAAACTTAGGTGAGTTTTCCTTCTAAAATATGTAGGATATTATCTTTCATACATAAGTCTATCACTTAGCCATTCTGCCAATCCTACATTTCGATCTTCATTACTTACAGTAAGATCTGAGGATGAAAATGGTTAAGTAAGATAGGAGTTATAGTTCTCTAATATAAATACAAAATGTAGTATTACTGGTCCACCATCAAAATCATGCTCCTAAAAATATCCTATCCTCTTGAATTAATATTTGAGCAACCAAATACTTAAAAAACATGCTGGGCATCTTAAAATGAGTACGTCGGTTAATTAATTCTGTGATCTCCTGCTATTATCCGAGTATTATACAATCTGTTATTATTCACTGTCCTATAGATCATCTGTTCTTGGTGCTGGTTTGTTCCAGGAAGAGAGACAGCTGCAACACTATATCCCTGTTCAACCTGAGGACCATCTGACTTTAATTGTAACACACAGCTTGATGTGGCGCTGGCTATGAGAAGCCAAAGCATCGTCTGTAATAATCTGGAAAAGCAGAATCCTGCCAACAGAGGGCTAAAAACAGGGACTTGTGCTGTCTGGCTGCCTGACGGGCTGCAGGAAATATGATTAATGAGTAAGGTATAATGATATCAGGAACCCGATTAGCACCAAAAAAAGGTCACAGATCAAAGTAGTATGCATTTCATGAGCTACAATCATTGCATAAAATCTGTGGACTTGAAGAGGTAAACGTACAAGAGGAGGGGGATAAAACCCGTATGTGATAACATGCTAACGAAAACATAAAACACCATACTATAGAAAATTAACTTACAGAGAATTAACATGAAATTATAAAATGAATCATTATGGACTGTACTGTGGGAAAGCTTAGTTCATTATAAATGTATAATAAATACTTTTGAATGAATGAATGAGTTATTACTTTCATAAAGACACACATAAGCAAAATCAAGTATCTCTCTTAATTATGAATTAAAATGATCAGAAATGTAAATATTCAACTCTAAACTATGTTTGCATTTGATTTGGAGTGAATTTTTATATAGTTCTGTTTGGTAATTAAGCTAATTCAGAGCCAAAGGTAAGAAGACATCTGTAAAACTCATTGAAGTAGGAAACACCAGGAAAAATACTAAGTAAACTTAATAATGAGTTACAATAAATGTGCCATTAATACTGTAAGATACTATTTTGTAGGGTACTATTTATAATTATTTGTATGATGCAATATTATATAGATCATATATTAATAGTCTGATATACTATTTTGTATGATACTATTCATAATTTCATAGTCATGTTCAAGTTTAGAGCATGGGCAGCCAAAACCTACATCTGACTAGAAAACAATTTGGTAAGGTACAGTCTCCTTTTGTTTGTTGCCCTTGGGAAACCTGTCCCAAACAGACAAAGCAGTGTGTGAGGGTAGAGATGGGAGGTCCCGTCAGAAGGGTGGCTTATCTCAATTTACACAACTAAATTTTCTCAACTGTCAAAATACTGGCGAAAAACTTTAATATGACTTATTCAAATGTTTCTACCTCTTAGGTCTCCTTTAAAGTGAAGTAAACAAACTAACAAACCTCTTTGTGCTTTTTAATAATACTATGGTAATGACATAGAGAATTGGTTCCCTTGACACTTAAAATTTTAAATCATATTTGAGAAAAAGTGTGTCAATAATAAAGTGATCAGAACATTAGTTCTTTCTTAAATATATTTCTCAAAATAGGGATGGCACTTTATATCTTTCATATATTATGTAAATATTATTTTATATTTATTTAACATTTAGTTAAAACATTTTTTAAATGGTGAGTTAAAGTCACCATTAAAAAATAAAAAAACAAGCCACTGAATAGTTGAAAAATATTCACAAAACATAGTGTTGGATAAAGGACTTTTACAGAGAATATATAAAGATCTCTTACAATTCAATAGTAAAAAGACAAACAATCCAATTAAAAATTGCGCAAAAGATTTGAATAGATAGTTCACCAAAAAACATATATGAGTAGCAAATAAGTCCATGTAAAGATGGTTAACATCATTACTCGTTAGTGTAATGCAAATTAAAATAGCAATGAGATACTTACTAGAATGGCTAAAATAAGTAAGAGTGACAATATCAAGCCTTGGTAAGGATATGGAAAAAGTGGAACTTCATACATTATTAGTGGGAAAACAAAATGGTACAGTAAACATATTCTTATCATGTGACTCAGTAATTCCACTCCTAGGAATTTTCCTAGGAGAAGTGAAAACAGATGTCCACACTAAGACTTACACAAAAATATTCATAATAGCCCCAAACTGGAAAAAAACAAATGTCTGTTAATAGTAAAAAGACAAATGAAATGTGATATATCTATAAGACAGAATACTATGCAGCAACACAAAGAAATTAACTAGCAACAGCATAGGTGAATCTCAAAAACATGATAAGTGAAAGAAGCCAGGCACAAAAAGACTACATATTGTATGATTCCATTATTATAAGATTTCTAGAAATGCAAAACTATAGAGACATGATCAGTGGTTGCCTGGGGCCAGAAGCAGGAGCAGAAGCAAACTGTGAAGAGGAGCACAAGTAAACTTTTTGGAGTGATGTAAATGCTCTAAAGCTGGATTGCAGTGACTGTTCACAATTGCATAAATTTACAAAAACTTATTGAATTGTACACTTTTTAAAAGTTGAATTTCACATTGTGTAAATGATACCTTGAAAAATTTGTTTCAAAAGGGTAGACAATCACTGAAAGAAAAAAAATTTGTATTATAAGTGCACCTTCTATTTACTTCTATGTGCCCCCAGGGGAAAAAAATCACACAACTGTAGACAACCGTCACATTTATTTTTTTTTTTTTATTTTTTTATTTTATTTTATTTTTTTTGTCTGTTTTCCGTGTCCGGCAACGGATTGCAACCCTCAGTGTTGCCCCCGTACCGGACCGGGGACCGGCAACGGGATCGCAAGCTTCGGCGTTGCTCCCGCGCCTCGCTCAGCCAGTGAGCGGGAGCCGGTCTGTATGTGGGATCTGAACCCTCGGACAGGAGCGCCGCCGCGCTTCTCAAGCGGCGCACTATCCAGTGCGCCACCGGGCCGGCCCAGACAACCGTCACATTTAAAAGTTTGGTATCTTCTTCAATATCTTTCAGAGCTAGGCTTTGTCTTAGGCTCTCACTTTAATCACAGAAACTTAGTGAGAACCTTCGAAACCTCTTGGGGTAAAAGTAAAATGCAAAATGTACTATAAGACTGTGATATAATAATGTTCAATACTATTTTCTCAGTGCCTACTTTCTGAGCCAGAGACTATTCTAGGTATTTTACATACATAATTACAATTGTACACTCACAATTTCAAAATTACAAATAAGGTAGCCAAGGCTCATAAAGGTTAAACTGCTAAGGCTCCATAATCAGCAATGTGGTTGATCCAGGATTGGGAAATCTGGTCTAACTCAAAGCCTGTATTCTTTCCATCGTAGTATATATAAAATGTAAAATTTCAGTAATAGTGAGATGCTAATTGGGTTCTGAACGTTAAGATTAAAATATAATTGTTGGCATGAAAGATAAGGGATACCACCTAGAAAACCAAAATGCAATAATTTCCCTTGTTTAATTGTAAATTTAAAACACAATGCAATTTAGATTTCTTTTTTAATATGGTGTAGGGTTAAGATACTACTTTTAAATACTGAGAACAAAGCTCCCTGATTTCAAACTTTCATGAAACTTAAAAGAAAAAAAGAAGTTATATTATTTTCTCACAAAATAATACAGAACCCATATAATGAAGGACATTAAAGAGTCCACTATAGACAATACCAAAGAGTTGTTTGTAAGCATAATGATCACTGTGCTTTTAACTTTTCAAGTTTTCACAATCTAAATATTATGTAAAAATTTCCTTCAAAGGATAGATAGTCACAGAGGATATTATTTGAAAATCTTGTTTCTATTTACTGAAATGTACGATGGCCTTCTAACTGGAACATAAAATTACATTCCTTTCCTGGCAGGAGAAACCATATTAGAAAAAGCATTCAATTCCAGTTTCACTAATAATTTTGAATTATCATGTATATATGAAAGTAAGCTAAATTCTGCATAAAAGAATAAAAGAAACTATTATACCTTTCAATCCAATAAAATTATTTTATACAGTTTTTATGGGTATATATGACTATTCATCAACTATTATATCACTTTTAATTATCCCTACCAAATACAGCTCTGTCCAGAAGTGCAAGGGTTAATGATCATACACGAACACATGAAAGATGCTTTGAGAAGAGGCTCATGACAGAGTAGATGATTATTATCTTACCATTCTGTTTATGCGAACAAATTCTTCTGAGGTTTTGGCCCAAGGAGGAAGTTCGACATCAGACACTACTGTCCCATCATCCATCACTCCGAGATTATAATTATTGAAGTTGACAAACATCTCAGGGAGATAATAAAATTCAGGGATCAACTCCTATATAAAAATAAAAGACAATACTATATCATAAACTGGAGGATACTGACTAGATATTCATAAAAGTGCCTGATCATTTCCTACTGTACAGAAGGGAAAATAAACATAAAGAAATTTTTTCTCTTTGCATATCATAGCCCCATCACAAAGTTTCTTTTAACGTAGACAGATACTATCCTACCAAATTTAAACAGCATCTTACTGGTATAAATACTAAGCTTTCCTTCAGGACATGTTTCATAACCTCAGAACTCGGAAATGCCAAAATTTGAGTAATAATTGAGGTTTGACAAGACATAAACAGAGATTACCGTGCTGTAACAATAATGACAGCCTAAACTAGATTTTTTATGAGGTATATGAGGTTTTTGCCAGAAAAAAACAAAGTATTTATAATATAAACATTAAAATACTGCCTTGCTCCCTTCATCAACCAGGAAGATAACTCATTACACTTTAGCCATGGTTTAACAGTGTATTTTCCTCATATTTCAAAACATTCAAGTTTAGTTTTAAGATACTAACTCTGACAAAAGATCAAAATTTATAATTAGTATACACAATGACCTGCATAAGAAAGTGAGTAAACTGAATATATGACTTTAATAACGATGCTTTAAATACACTAATAGGACACTTAATAAGCAGAAAAATGCAGCTGGCAAGGCTTTTGTGTGAAATGAGCCTCACATATAACTATTTCAGAGGCCCCGTAGATCAGACTTGAAATCCAGTCTCGACATGGGTCAGTGGCTCAGTGGTCTTTCAGATACCCCCTCAGGGCCAGCTATGGCAGGCCCGGCTTTCCAAACAGTTGAGTAAAATAGGGAGGTCATCAGATTTTGGACAAGGTCAATATGAACTTGCCAGAGCAGAGAAAAAAGATCCAGCAGGAATGAAGCTATTATCACCTCCATCATCCATGTGAAATGCTGCTTGACTGTGAATTGTACTTCCTTTGTTTACAATCACAATAATTAACTAAGCAGGATAGAAATAAGCTTGTCCTAAATGCCTGACAACCATCTGATCATTAGACTTAAACATTTAAACTGAACAAATTTTAAAAAATTAAAAGGAGGACCTTGTTAAAAGTTCAACCATAATAAAATCAGACAGTGATCACACAAAAATTTTAAGATTCTTATATTAAAAAACAATGCATATAAGTTTAATTGACAAAAAAAGAAAGACAGATGTGTATTGTTTCATGCAGCAGAAAGCAATATCCAATTTTTTTGAGCTAACATTTACTCTGTGGTATGAGTCAGGTACTAAAATAAACTCTTAATAAACCTTATCACATTTAATCATTACAACTTTACAAGATAAAGTACCATCTTCATTTAAAAAATTAACTAAGGCTCAAAAAAGTTAAGACTTGTCTTACTCTAAAGCCTGTGTCCTTGATCATCAAATAAGCTTGTGTTCTACTTATATAATATACTGTATGGTGCTAGCCATTTTATTTATTTTGTTTTATTTATTTATTTATATGTATTCATTCATTTACCTTCTTGTTTACTTATTTGGCAGTTGACCAGTATGGTGAGACATTTTAAATTTAAGTTTTTAATATATATTCTAAGTGATTTTTTAAAAACTAAAAAAAAAAAAAAAAAAAAAACCCTAAATATAAACTTTTAGTTCTTTCATGATAGAAAACTATTTATATGTATTCATTCATTTACCTTCTCGTTTACTTATTTGGCAGTTGACCAGTATGGTCAGACATTTTAAATTTAAGTTTTTAATAAATATTCTAAGTGATTTTTTAAAAAAAAAAAAAAAAAAAAAAAAAAAACCCTAAATATAAACTTTTAGTTCTTTCATGATAGAAAACTGGTTCTCCTGAAAATATACACATTACACATATAGTGTGTTTTACACTACATATAGTAATTATTATATGAATAAAATTAGCCCAAAAAAGAAGAATTTTTGAAATATACTGTAACTGTTATTTGCACTAATAAGAAGAAAAGTCACTTTATAACTTTCTATTATGAATTTGCTGAAGTGTGCATTCAATAAATTTTCAACTTTGGGGAATTTTACCAAAACATCATATAATACAAAAATATCTCCATAATTCTTGTACTATTGAAGAGAAATGTTACTACTCCCACGTTTCGTTATACAATAAAGAGGAAGGAACATGCCTTCCTTGTTTATTCAGAATCAAAAGCAGCATTTGGTTTAATTAAACAGCAATTCTTTTCATTTCAACACCTTCTCATGATTGGAGGATGGTGCTCCTCTTTTGCCTGTTATACCCACCATGCTTCTGTGTACTAATTCTCCTAGATTAAAAACAAGAATTATAATGGCTGAATTTTAGGTGTTAGATTTCTCCCGGGTTTTAAAATTTGGGATACCAGTCATTTCTACTGTAAATCAGAGATATATACTGCATGGTAAAAATATACCAAAGAAAGTACTCTTTGTCAAGACCAATTATAGAAAGCAGAATGCAACACGTGATATTTCATAGCAATTGTCATAAAAATAAAATCTTCAACACTTCTAATACATAGCATGAAAATATTATGATTTTGTATGTTTTTCTCTATCTTCTGTATCTGTCATTTTATTCAGATTACTCAAGTTGACAAAAAAATATTGGCTCAAAACAGAAATGCTCGCCACTCATTCTTTTACAAGTTGTAAACTCAATTAACACAGTAATATATTTTGTTCCTGGCCCAGTTTATTTAAACATACAAATTTATTATGAATTTAAATTGTTGTTACTTCAATATTGACACCTTATCCTACAACAGATTCACTTAGAATTAAATGGAGCAAAAATACACATAAAACAAGAGATTTTTAATAAATGTTATGAAGAAAGCAATTTTCGACCTTTATGTCTTATTGGACCACATTAAACTTTCAGATATATAATTTCTATCATGCTGGGAGGGAGGTAATAACTCATCAATTTCCACTTAATTATCATAGATTTGTGATTTCCTGAAGATACATATCACATAAATTTTGTACAGTGGACATTATAAAAATAATTCAAAAATTAAACATTTAAACTTCAGTAATTAAAAATTAAGCTTAACATTTCACTTGAAATTTATTAAGATATAAACTTATGTTTTGCTCTCTTTATTTTTTACCGCTCACCCCTACCCCTTCAATTTTAAGAGAGTAGTTAGGCATTTTCTTCCCCAAGAACATGTGCAGAGTCCAGAGCAGAGTCTTCTTGAAGGAATCCTCCATTTCCATCTTTTATGCAAGTCTAAGCAAATAAAGGAGATTATGTAAGGTGTCCAGAAGAAGAAGATGTCAAAAGTTAGTATTTTTAAACAGACAGAAACCAAGGAAGAGGCATAAGATTTTCCCCAAGATTAGGAAGGCAAGTTTCTCAAAATTTGTAGTCATCTGTTTTCAGCCTAAGATGAAGGAGAAGGGATGAAGAGGTTAGGCTGGAACTCAGGGGATGGGAAGTGGTGAGCAGGGTCACTACATGCCCATATAGTACCTTTATAAGAATTAGAAAAAGGCAACCTTTCTGGGCTAATGCAGTCCCAAGGGAACTCAGTTTGGTAAACAGAGGGAACACAGGCTGGATTTCGGCTCCTAGTCTTTCTCTCAGACACGTGCCCTTTTATAGAGAACAATCTGCCTACTACGCATAGCAGCCTATGCATGGTGCACTTGGGGAAGCTAGTCTCTCAGCACCAGAGCTTTTGGCATCTGCAAATATTTCCTAACTCAAACTTGGAAAAATCAGCAGAGCTGCCTGCCTCCAAAAGACTTTGTATATATTTTAAACAATGAGGATATGACTAATGAACAAGAGGGACTAAAGACATGAGGGCCAATTTTCTAGGTATCACATAAGCCTGGATTCTCATTCAAGGCTTAAGCAAAGGAGATCCCTACCCTACCCTTCTAATGCCTATGAATGAATTTCCCACCATCCTAATAGGAGGAAGGGTTGAATTCAAATTAGGACATTTCTTGTATACTTGAGTTGGTGATTATGATTTTATATCTATTTCAATACTGATAAAAAGTTACCAATATATTAACTGATAATATAGTCCTAGGGAAAAAAATGGTAGGAATAATTCAGTATGGACAGAATACAAATAGAATTTTTTATTAAAAGAATAAAACTTATAAGAAGTTCCTCTTAATTGATTATTTGATTTAAGCCTTAATTAAATAGAAAGAGTAACACATCATTATCACAAAAAAACAATTTTTTAGTTCTTCCTCTTTGCAGAGAACTGTGTTAGGGTATGGGATACAAAAACATGAAAACATTAGAGTCCCCCCCACCCCCAAAGAACACAGATCTAAATTAGTAAGTTAGAGTGAAAGGATACATTTATTAAGAGAAAATAGATTGTAGAAAAGAACAGCACTCTAGATGTTCAAAGGAGAAAGTGATGTCTAAAAGTTGGGGTGGTCAAAGAAAGCTTCAGGGAAAAAAACCAAAATACACTGTATTTCCCTAATGCAGAACTCATCAATTTGTATTGCAATTGTCTGAAATCCCTCTAAATTGAAGTCTCCATGATACTGAAGACTTTATGTTTCTTGTTCACCACTACACCATCAAGCCCAGACACAGTGTGACACATATAAGGCATTGGGTAAAAATTTGTTGAATGATTGATTGAGAAATGGTATTTAAACTCAAAGATAAATAAGCAGAGGGGAAAAACAAGAACAGTCCTGACAAGTGGAATATATTTAGAAGTGGTACACACATTGAAACTTGCATATCATTTGTTTCTAATGATTGAAGAAGAAAATTGGTTCAGAGAAGACTATATACATGGGGTGGGAGATAAAGACGGAAAAGTAGGTAGGGTCAAAGTGTAGAGAGTCAGGAATGCCTAGCTGTGAAGCCTTATCCGTTTTTCCATAAGAAAAAAAAAATTTTCCCTTTGGGAAATTTTTTAAATAAACATGAATTGAAAACGGGACAAACATTTCTAAGAAATTAACACCGAAGAGAGAGGTTATAAAGG